TTCGAGGGGAGAGGGGCCCCGCGGCGTTGGCCGTGCTCCTCGGGGCTCGGCGCGCGCCAGGGTTCACTCACTCCTGCCCCTCCTGGGCTCGCAGCGCTGCTCTCTCCGTGCCGTTTGGCGCGTCAAGTGGCGCTTGCGTTCTGCAGCCTTGCTGCGCGCCAGCCCGCCTGTCTTGTGCGCTGTTCTCGCGCCAGGGCGGAGGCCGAACCGACGGGGCAGGTGGTTGGCTACCGACTCTCTGGATCGCCTCCGAACGCCATCGCAGTGCAAGGTTGTCCAGTGGGCGGCCAGGAGCCACGGGGGCTGCGTTGCTCTGCTTTGGCGCGCGCGCGCTGCTGTGGCGGGCTGAGTCGCCGCGGCTGCTCGGATGCAGCGCGACCGCGTGATTCGGCTGGGGCGGTGGGCGGCCTCTTGGCACTTATGTGAATGCGCGGGGGTGCGCTGAGGCGCGCGAGACCGAGCGCTGCCGCCGCGGGGCCAGAGGGAAACGCTCCGGTCCGAGGGGCAGTGCGAGCTAGGAGCTCCCGACCTCCTTAGACGCGTGGATCGCCGTCATCAGCGCCATCATCATTATCATCGTCATCGTCGTCATCATCACCATCATCGCCATCACCATCACCATCGTCAGCATCACCATCATCAATTCAACATCATTACCATCATCCTCAGTGCCATCATCAGCCGCATCATCAAAGCTACACTGGCTCCCACGCAGGAGGAGCACGGTTTCGCGCGCACGTCGGCCCGCCCTTCGCCCGTGCCCGCCATGGCCAGCCGCTGGTGCCGCGGAGCTGCGCCCCGCCGATGAAAATGCGTGCTCGCCAGCTCCTGCGGGAGGCCCCGACCCCGACCCACAGCGCCAGCAGCCTGCAACCAGCCCGGCTGCTCGAATTCCCCCTGGCCTGTCGAAGTGGTGCGATTGCTGGTTTCACGGGCACGGGGGGAAGACGGCCTTCCGCATTTTCGCATGCTAATCCAAGACCGACGCATACTCGTGAAACGCATTGTACACCAGGCAGCTAGTTATTTCCTTTGGCAGCCTGGACCATGCACGAACAAGAGCGCGGGCGCTGCGATATTACTTGGAGAACGCCTGGGAACTACTGACATTTCCCGCGTAGTAGCCCCTTTCTCCGATTGTGGCAGGACGAGGTGGGATGGCTGATGTTGGCAAGGGCCCGCTCAAGCTTCGCATCATTGTGGCATGTTCCGAACCGATGCCGAGAAGGGCAGCAGCACGCCCGACATAAAGGAACGGATGCGAGATTTCAGGGAAATTAATGGACGAGCAGCTCCGCGGGTGCGCATTTCGGCGCGTCCCTATCATTTTGGCAGATGCAAAGGCGCGGCGTGGACGGCAAGGACAACTACAAGTTCATGGCGACAGCGCCGGGCGCCACGATAATGGCAGCGAGGGCGAGCATGGTCGAGCCCTACATCGATTATTTTGCACACGCGTGCCTGCGGCACTCAATGCCCATATCAAAGTTCGACCCACTTTCATC